ACAACATCATAACAAGTAAAATTTCAGAACTAATAATGAAAATACTACAATATCCTTAATGAATTAATACATAAAAAAATTATTTAAAATATTTAAATAATTTCACAAAATGTTTTGACATTTGCTTTTCCTCTTTTAATTATAATCCCCTATTCTAAAATGTAAGGTTTGGGGGGAGTCAGAGTGGAAGTAGAAGAGGAATGAAACTTTCCATGGATTGATTGTTGTCCTTGAAAAGAAAAACACATGGATTATACACCTTGAAATTATCAGGGTAAATTTATTGTTGCATTAAAATCTTTCCAAGGGCGCCAAAAGCATTGATTTCACTGAAAAGCAACTGATTCTCATAAATTTATGGAGGGAAAAAAAATACCATATGAATAAGATAAACCAAGCACATTACAATCACTCTGCAACACATGATTACTCTTTCTCAAGTAATAAAGATCTGAGAAGAGAAGAGAAAAACCTCTAGAATCGACATTTCTCTGTCGCATGAATGTAGAAATAAGAAGCTACTTACATGAGTTAAAATCAGGATTCAAGGCCAAGCCAACAACTCAAACAAAAACTACATTGGCGTACAATCCTTTGTATAAGAACTGATGGGCGAAATGAATTTGTTGATCCAATGTTTTAATTTGAAGTCTAAGGGGTAAACAATCTCCTTACTTTATGAATAAGCCTTCGGCATATTGGACACATCTTGTTATCCTCACTCAGTATCCTGCAAAAGGACATGCACAATGTGATTATCTTGGAAGTTTCAAATACATGGTGAAGAAAAGAAAGGGACTCTGGTTCTGCCTTTTCTAAATTGTACCTCTGAGCACAATTGTAGCAGGTGGCACAATGACCACAAGGAACAAAGAAGCAGTTGCGCTGATCATCGTAGCATATTACACATAGTTTTGCATCATATAGGTCCTCCGAAGAGCTACTAGATGACCCCGTTTCATCATCATCTTCACGTTCTTTTCCAGTTCCATAGGTGGCTCGCAAGTGCTTTTCTGTTAGCATGGGGGTGGTCTCAGTGGCTATAGTCCTATCATAATCATATTGTATCTCCATTGGTGCTGTATCAACTACGCTCTCCCCAGCATCACATGCCCCAAGGTATTTCAATAACCAGAAAATTATAGCTATGAAAAAGCCTAAAAAACATACAATTGTTAAGTCAAACAACTACTTAAAATCATAGTGACACATTGGTAAAATAGAAAAACCAAATCATTGTTCTTTGTACCTAAAATTGCTATGTATGTTATTACTCGAGCAACAAAAGACAGCTCAATATACCAGCCACCAACGTCAACCTGGAATCAATCTCATAGTTTAAATTATTGAGTAAATGAATTAATTACAAACTTGAGGAGGTTAAAATGAATGACAAAAAGGTTGAGATCTTACATTGTCAGGAGTTGTAAGTACAAGGAACTGGGTGTTGGGAAACCTAAGTTTTAGTTGGCAGGATCCTGTCTGTGTGGAACAAATGTTCTTTGCTTTTGTTAGATCATACATCCTGGATGTAACATTCAAAGTCATGGATATATTTATGCTTCTATGGTTCTTATTGGTCACTCTTACATTGTACTTGTTATCTTCCTCAATGGTGTACTCTGTATCTTTTCCTGAATAAATATAAATCAAAATAGTTCAGAGATCTGTTGATTAACTCTTTTGAAAAGGAAAATGGAAGTGTTTTATTTAGCATTAATTCTGGTAATTTAGTATTACTACGTCCATTCTTATTGAATTCCTTGTCATGCTAAAAATATACATAGTACTAAACCTCTAACTTAGTCTAGAGTAATTCCTGAAGCAAATTGCTTCTGTCCTAAGCAGATGGTCAAAGGTTCTAGTTTCAACCCTGTATATTTTTTTTCCTTGATAGTAACATGACTACTACGAAATCAACATTCATTCTGAAATCAAGACAGAAGAATATCTTTGAATCAAGCAGATTGAAAATTTTCCAAATTTGGGGGGCAGAATTCTTACTACTCAGCGGTTCACTCAGAGCAGGGGCATCAAATGAACTTGTCAAGTGCGGCAGCAATGTTTCAGCATGCTTCTGCTCTCCTGCAGATGAATCAAGCATTGTTTAAGTTCTATTACTTGTAGACTAAATAAGACCACGAGACATGATTGTTACTCCATATTTCAGAATAAAAGAAACCTCAAAGAACCTTTAATCATAATCACTTGAAGCTGATCTAATCTACTTGTTTGAGTTTCCCATCTCATTCGGATCTTAGAACCCTTGTTTAACCACAACGAAAACTCCTGAAATTCATTAATTACAGATCTCATCAGGGAAAAAAAAAAAAAATTCCAATCTTGATTTCTTTGAAGCATTTCATCAAACACATTCCAATCAGGAATTCACCTAACCTTGCGGTTCTGGGATCCCACAATCAGATAATTAGACGCGCTCCAATTCGTTTCCTGACTCAACTCCGGCTTCTCCGAGAACCCATAAAGAAGAACCCCTTTCCGCTCATCGTCTCTAGCTTCGACCTGCTCCACGAACAGAGAGCTCGCCCTTATCAGTCGCGACGAGCTGGGTCCAAGCACCATTCGACGGTCCCCGTAGTAACCGTACCGGAGGCTCACTGACGCTGCAAACCCAAAAAAGTAAAATGCTCTGTTTCAGACTGAAGGATCAAAGAAATTGACACTAAACCAGATGGAAGAATTACATGCCACATATCCATATAGTCAGAAGAGCAATCAAACGCCCCCATGTCTGCCGCCACCGCCACCGTGGAGAGTGGCAGCTGTAAGGCATCAGCACCGGCCTGTACATGGCTGCTCAGGGGAAGACAATGAAGAAAGAGATGAAAAGAGAGACTACGGGGACTGTGAATACGGAAGTGAAGGGAATAAGGGGAGATCGAGAAGACTAGTAGGTTTTGGAATGGTGTAACTAACCAGGCTCTGCGGCGATTGGCGGGTAATTGAATGACTTTTTTTGAATGTTAGGTGTCCGTTATGGTTGACTTCTTGATTAATTTGGGGGATTGTCTGCCCGTTAAGATTAGGATCAAGGGTTGCTATTTTTTCCTTTATTTTTGTTTTTCTTCCTTTTTATGGGTGGGCTGGGTATTTGGGCCCCTTGAAGGGGACCCAAAGGTGAGATGTAGGCCCAATCAGTCGAATCCCATGCAATCTAAATGATTTTATTATTGCTAATCCATCTTACTTTTCTACTTTAAGGCATGCATATAAAACAAAAGAAAACACTGCCTTCTCTTTCGTAAAGAAATAGGGTAAAGGGGTGGACTGATAGGGATCATTCGATTTTGAATTTCAACCTTTAAATCACGTAATCTTAAATTTAAGATATGAATCATTAAATTGCATACATTAAATGAAATTGTATTTATTTAAAATTTTCAATGATATTTATTTAATATTGTATATTCTAAAAAAATTAGAAATCTATTACTCCTAGGGTTTTAAAATTTTAAATCTTTTATACATTTTAAATCTTTTATACTACTAGTATTAGTTATGTTTAGAAAAAATGGCATGGGAAGTTGACTCCGAACTAGCAGTCAGCGGAGCATAAGTGGACAACTTATTGCTCTTCCTTCTTTATGGGTAAGATATGAATTGCATGTGAGGATCATATGAGCCCAAGAACTAGAAGTGGTTCAGACTTCAGAGAATGACAACAATTTGCAATATCCCCGATTTGGACAACAGGTCCAGCTATTTGTCAACTTGTTCGTTTGTCCCTCTATACCGAACTCTATCAACGGATAATTCAATCAACGTGCAGAAATTTAGTTATTCAACTTTTTTTTTTTTTTCATGCTCTTTCATGCATTTTCTATTTGGTCCAATATTGATTTTAAAGCCAATAATAATAAATTTTCCATTTTATTCTAATTTTCTTGTGGTATTTGCCTTTAATACATGAGAAATATGAATATTAATTACAATAGAAGTTTGAATTATTAGTTATTAAGAGATCCCGTTAGTGTAGTTTCATATATAATGTTTTTATTTATTAGCCTAAATATTATTTGTATTTACTAATAAACAAATATCGTTTTATAAAACAGATTTAGAATTTAAGTTTTAAAGTTAATATTTTAAAAAATTAATTTTATTAAATGTACTAAACTAATGTAGGGGTGTGTCTTTAAGATTGCTAAAAAAAATTAATTTTAAAGTGTATGATAATTAATTGAGAATATCATAATAGTAAATAAAAAATAAAAAAACTATGAAATGATTTCCATTTTAGTCATGTAAAAGCTCAATCATTAGCTTACTATCATTTAGATCATGAAATACATCTAATTTATCACATTTTAATTGAATATTTTTATATTTATTTTTACTCATGATTACATTGAGAGAGTTTTTTTTTTAAAATAAAATTTGATCTTATTTAATTTTAAATTAATTGAAGTTTAATGAGACTTCAATTAACCAAGGGTTAGTTTAAAAAAATTTATAGGTTTAGAAAAGGAAAAAAAAAATTGGGGCAAAACCCAATTAAAGCAGAGCTAAATTAAGAACAGCGGGATGGTCCAATAAATTAATTTTTTAAAGTATATAAATTTCAATTTAAAAAAAAAATAAAAATAAAGCCCGCGCGCCGTGCCCTGGGCCACCACGAAATGCCAAAATCTTGAAAACGAAACAAAAATGAACTAAAATCGTCCCTCCCTCCCTCTCTCCCTCCAAAGAACCCCAAATGAAAACCATAAAACCAAACGCAACACTCCTGAGGCAAACTTCAAGACCGCCAACTTCAGGTTTTTGAAAAAATCGAAAATGGCGCTTTCCAGCATTTTATTCCCAGACTATGCCTCTTTCTCCCTCACTACAAAACCTCCTTCCACTCTCCCCTTTCGGAAGTGGTTCTAGCTTATCATTTTTCTCTATCTCTAAGCGGAAAAGGGTTGGGAAAAGAGTGAGCGTGAAGGCATGGCGGATCTGGAGAATTGCGTGAGGATTACAAGGGCGGCTGCTAAGAAGAGGGCGGTGGAGACCATTGGAGTGGCGCCGGAGCAATCAAAGAAGAAAAGGGTTGTTCTGGGAGAGCTTCCTAATCTCTCTAATGTTTTAGTTTCTATGAATCAGACTGTGGGAACAGAGACCCAGAAGCCGAAAGCGAAGACGACCAAAGTGAAGAAGGCTTTGGTGCAGGTGAAGAAAACGACAGCGGAGGTGAAGGATGGGGTTTGTGATGAGAAGCGACAGGAAATTGATGCCGACTTTGAGGATCCGCAATTGTGTGGGCCTTTTGCGGCTGATATATACGAGTATCTTCATGAAATGGAGGTATTTGTTTTCTCTATTTCAGTGCATCTATTTTCAATTAGCAAGTCATGGACTTTGTTGCAAGTTCTGTTGCAGTTAATTGAGAAAAAATGAAACACTAAGGAAAAGGACGTGCTTTAGAATCTCAAGGTTTATGGTTTCTTGTTTCTTGATTAATCTTTTGCCTTAATTAACAAATTAATAATCACCGAGTTCAACAGATGGGGTTTTTCTCATATGGGTGTAGCAACTGAAATCTCAAGAACCAATTCCAATAAAGATGGGTGCTGGGTTTTGGGTTTTCTATTTAATTCAGCAATGGGCATAGGGAAAATAGGTTTTGACTTTTGAGCAATATGCTGATGACTATTTTTAAGCAAAGATACTCATCTGGCATTCCAATGCCTTAATGCTAATTATTATTTAATTTATTTATTTTGATTGGCACCTTGAGGCTAATTTTAATCATGGATTTGATATTTAGGTGAATCCAAAGTGGAGACCTTTGCCTGATTATCTTGAGAAGGTACAGACAGATGTTAGTGCCAATATGAGGGGAGTATTGGTGGACTGGTTGCTGGAGGTTGCAGAGGAGTATAAGCTCATTTCTGACACTCTGTATCTCACCGTTTCTTATGTTGATAGATTCCTGTCTTTGAATGCTATAAAAAGGCAGAAGCTTCAGTTACTTGGTGTTTCTTCAATGCTTATTGCTTCGTAAGTTTCTAAGTTCTTTGATCTGTCGATGCCATGCTTTTTTTGAGATTTTGCAATATGATTTGCTTACATTGGTTTGTTCTGATTGTTGTAAGTAGGAAGTATGAAGAAATAAACCCTCCAAATGTGGAAGACTTTTGCTACATAACTGATAATACATACACAAAGGAAGAGGTACATTAATTCCCTTCTTTTGTGCTCTTTTTCTTTAAACATTTCTATTTTGTTTCATTGGTTTATTAAAGGTTGTTTAATGAATGTGTAGGTGGTTAAGATGGAGGCTGACACACTAAAGGCTTTAAAGTTTGAATTAGGTAGTCCTACCATCAAGACATTTTTGAGGAGATTTACTAGGGTTGCACAAGAGGATTTTAAAGTAAGGCAGATTCCTATGACTTTTCCATCTCTTTATGTATTTTGCAACTGGTACCGACTCCATTGTTGTTTTTGTTCTACAGGCTTCCAGTTTGCAATTGGAATTTCTAGGATACTACCTTGCTGAGTTGAGTTTGTTGGATTATGAATGTGTGAAGTTTTTGCCCTCTTTGGTGGCTGCATCTGTTATGTTTCTTGCAAGGTTTATGATTCAACCAAAGATTCATCCTTGGGTAAGCTCTTTGGTTTCATAGCATCCTATGGAATTGATTTTCATTTATGGCTGGCAATTATTGACTTATCATTTGCATTCTCAGAGTTCTGCCTTGCAACAACAAACAGGTTACAAATCATCTGATTTAAAAGAATGTGTCCATATTATACATGATTTGTATCTCAATAGGAGAGGAGGTTCCCTACAAGCTGTAAGAGAAAAATACACGCAGCATAAGGTATTTACCTATCTCATAGTATGCCTACAGTTATGAATTCTGTTGCCATGATGTAAATGTTAAAATCTAATTCTGTCACTGCTACATTTTCTTGGCAGTTCAAAAATGTTGCGGTAATTCCCTGTTCTCCAGAGATACCATTTTGTTATTTTGAAAATGTCTGGGGAACAAAAATTTGAAGCTGTGATGATCTTGCATGATGGTTAAACTTCATGGATCAGACTGGCTGGTGTACATGGTGGCCTTTAACACAAGTTACTGGGTGGTAATCAAGCTTAATCTTGAAGGTGTCTTGGGAAAGTTGAGGCTCTTAACAAATGTGGTCACCGGAACGGAAGTGACGTTTCTCACAGCAGTTGGTGCATGGGTACTCCTACATAAGATGTCTACACAGTTGCTAACTTACATAGTCAGTAAGACTTACCATGCAAGTCATCCTAACATAGGTGGAGTGTTATTGATTTTTTGAGCAATTAGGTAATTAGGTTAGGTAATTTCTGACTTAGGTTGTCAATTGGATGTTATAGCTTCTGTTTGGAATTTGCTGATAACATTAATAGTTGCTCTTGAATTGATTTCAATTGTTTAGGGTTAAAGGAAGGAAAAGCTCTTCATGTAAATAAATTTAAAAATTTCTTTAGGAAGCATTACATATTCACTCTCTTACCCAGTATGTGCTTACTCATAATCTACCACATCTTAGATTTTAAATTGTTCAAAAGTAAAAGCACAATCTAAACAGATGATGGTATTCTTTATCAATTTTATGAGAATTATATAATAATTATTATAATAAAAATATTGTGTGATGCAGATTATATAGGATTGTCTAATATAAATTATTGAGTGGGGGTGAGCTTCTAATAAGGGTTTATAATAATGGTTTGTACAGTATTTGTCAAGTGTAGTTTAGGTTGTACAGAATTTTTTAGATTGAATAAACAATTTGACCATACTAGGGCCAACAAATACAGAGATGTTATTAGAAAGCCAGACCTTAATCTTTCATTCTTTATATCATATGCATGCGAAAAATTAAATATTCAAAGTGTGCATAAGAAAGAGCTTCAATGCATCATTCCAGCGTGCATCCAACATATTTACTTCCTCTGTCAGTCTGCTGTCTTCTTTCACAACAATAGCCTATTCATCCAGTCAAAATACACAAGAAAATAAGTTTCACGAAATATTGAATGTGTGGTTAGTACTTACTAGCATATGTACATGGGTTACTCTTTCTCACTGTGTATATTTGAACCTTTAGCTTGCTCTTTTCTAGCAGTAGGTTTCAAAAGATGATTCGGAATGAGATTTGGTTTGTTAATTAGCTGTGCATGATTCGACCACCCAGATCTGTGCTTCAATCAAAGATTGTATGAAGACTTCTGTTTTGAGTCTGAGATGAAGTCGATATTGTGACTTTGTGAGAAATTTGACTTCTTTGCCAAACCGACAAAGAACCCCCCACAGAAAGATAAAAAGCACAAAGAGCCAAGATCTGTATGTACTGCACACGCGATAAACCTGATGCTGGAAAAAAAAAAAAAAAAACCCTTGTTTCAGGGACTGAAGACTTTGAGTAAAGCAAAATAGGAAGAAAAAAGGTCTCGTAACGCACAAAAAGTTAATATATATATATCAAGGAAAAGTAGAAAAGTTTCTTCGTGGGTTGTGTCCCTTGTTTGCAGGGCCAGGGTGTGCTCAATAATACTACTATTCTTCTCTTTTTCTTACATTCCCAAACAAAGCCACTTAGCTTTTCTTGCCCTTAAAATATGCATTTTTCACATATTTGATGTCTCTTGAAGAATTGGATAAGGGTTCTACACTTGTATCCTTTTCGCTTTCTTTCCTTCGGTCTACCTCAACAAACAAGAGTCACGATTCCTCAGGTCAAAAGCATGCAATTCTGGCTGAAAGTAATGGTGGTAATGTTGGTCGTGTCGGTGTTGGTGGCGGGAAAGGAGGAGGAAACGGTGGTTGTTGGGGACGGCAGCCGCTCTGGTGATCTAAATGAGAAGCAGAACCACAAGCAACCTCGAAGCCAACGGGCTAGTGATCCTTTTGGTGTGTTCTTTTCAAGCAAGAGGAAGGTTCCAAACGCTTCAGATCCTCTCCACAATCGTTAAGGGTTTGCTTCAGCATCAGGGCTCGTTAGATCAAGAGATGACATATAGGAGAAGAAGAATATGAAATGAAGACTTGGAGTTTGGTGAAGTGGAGACTAGCTTGTACACTGGGAGTGCTGTTTTTGGGCATTTTGTCAATGATGGTGGGGTTAGTTTGTGGGGGAAAGGCTTCTTTTTCCTCGTGAATTGCATCCCATGTTTTCAAAATTTTGTTGGTTTCTTTAGGACTTTTTAGTTTGTGATCCATATTTTCCACAATTTGTACCCTCTCTATACCCCAATATATGAAAATGAAATAATATAAGTGATGAACAAATTTGGTCTACAATTCGGTCCTCTATGACTTCTTTTCTTATCTTCATTTTTGTTGTCCAACGTCATCTCTTCATGTTTTCAAGTGCAGGATATCTCATAAGGAGGAAATTTCCCTTTTCAAGATTTCTTTGGCATCTTATAATATAATCTTGTTCGAGAAAGGTGTTGTGCAAAAGAACTGATAAGTATGGTCAAATTCCCATGTCGAGTAGTAGTACTAGCAGAAACTAGAGAAGTGTGAACAAGCATTTCCTGTAAAAACAAATCTAAGTTAATATAGGGCAAGACTAAAGTGTTTTGAAAGTTGAATAATATTAAATTATAAAATATTTTTGTATAAATAATTGTGATATAAAAGCAGTGAGTCTTTTTTTTTTTTTTGAACGGCATAAGCAGTGAGTCTCTTACAAAACCTCAGTGATTATTATGCTATTAAAACATAAGATACTTAGAAAAAGTATAGAATACGTTACAGTGGAACACAACTTGAGTTTAACATGAACATCAATGGCTTTCTAATCTCAGAGGCTTAACCTTCTTCTAAACAGAGATGCAGAACATTGTCTTGTTTCTTTAGTTGAATGAATCTATCTGATGTTCAAAAAGGGAATCTTCACTGGAGCTGACATGAACATATCTTGCATCGAGAAGCAAAAAAATCATGAGCAAATTGACCATCCAAACCAGTACCGACATCGATTAGAGTACACAGAACTCCAGCACAGAGACTCCATTTTTTTGGGTCACAAACAACAGTTCTTTCTTTTACTTGCCAATAAAATAAAAAAAAACTGTTTAAAGGGTTTCCGGACTACAACGTTTGCAAGTGGGCTTAATTTGCTTCCTTAATAAAATGCAATACCAGCGGATTACAATAGGGGTTCTACTATTTGTGTTTTATTGGGTTGGGCTTGGTCCGTTCTCACATCAAGCAAGTTGCTTTTGAGTAAAGCGTCAGTTTATTACCTTGAACGAAAATCAAAAGAGGAGGAACTTTCAAGGCATTAAAATTGACTGTTCTACTTCGGCCGCACAACAATTTTAACATTAACACCGTATGATAAATGCATTTATCATTTTTTCATAAAAAACCTTAATTAATTTGAGATTAAGATTAGGGATTTAAAATTTCAGTAGTTCCATTGTAGAAAAAAGTGACAACATTGTTGTTGATTGATTAATAAAATATGTTTTAAAATTAAAATTAATAATATATCTTTATAAAAAATAAAATAAAATAATTATAATATTATAAATATAGTTATAATATTATACATTTATAATATTATATGATGTAAGATTATAGTATGATATCTACTTTCATATATATATATATTAATTTATTTAATAACTTGTTATACTTATTTAATATTATATACAGTTATAAATTTACAATGTTACTTGATATTATATTTGTAGTTGTCAATAAAAAAAAGGTCTGTTATTTTTTATCTCAGAATAATATATTTTTATGATTTAACTTAAAGTAATGATCGTTTTTTTTTGTAGTTTTTTTTTGTGTTTTTAAAGAGATAAATATTTTTCTCCTATTTAGCTTCATAATTTTCTTTTAATTTTATTTATCATTTTTATTATTATTATGAAAAAAAATTTATTTTTAACTTTTTTAAAAGATAAAATATATAAAAATTAAAATTATCTCAACATTTTTAATTAAAAAAAAAAAGAAAAGAGAAACGTTTATTATACCGGCATATAGGTAACTTGCATCATACCGTCATATCTAACTGGAGGACAAGGTGAAGCGTGCATTTCACTTCTCGATCACACTAAATTCCTTCCCCGCTTCAAATATTTTACACCCCAAACCTAAGTTTCCCCCTCTCGAATTTTCTAACGGAAAAGGGGATAAATACACTAGAATTTATCTATTTCTCGCCGAGGAAATGTCCGATCCTGAAACCACCACCGTTACAGCTGCTGCTCACGAGGAGTCCCCGGCAGTAATGGAGCCCCAAGGCAAAGCTCAAGATTCGAAACCCGTGGATATCAAAGAGACGGAGAAGCTCAGCAACGTTGTGCTGCAAATATGGCCGCCCACTCAGCGCACTCGTGACGCCGTGATAAAGCGCCTTGTGGAGACTCTGTCATCGACGTCGGTGCTCACCAAGCGGTACGGTAAGGTCCCGGTGGATGAGGCGTCTGTCGTGGCGAAGTCTATTGAAGAAGAGGCCTTCTCGATGGCGGATGCTTCATTCTCCCTCGAAAGCGACCGCATCGAGATTCTGCTGGTCTACTCTAAGGAAATCAGCAAGCGCATGCTCGATACCGTCAAGGCCCGGCCAGGAGCCGCTGCTCCTTCAGCTTCTGCCGCAGTGGACTCCAGTGGTGAAGAGGTTCATTCCGCCTCTGTTTCAGCAGACGCTTGAGTTTGGGGATTCTCGTCTCTCTCACTCTCTCTAGGGCTTCTTGGTTTAGATTGATATGGTATGTTAGGTTTCTCTCCCCTTTTAATGCCTGATTGATGAGATCCGTTTGTACTAACTATTGGGTGCTTACATATCATAATAGCTTTTATAATTTACATATCATAATAACATTTACAATATTATTTATTACTAGGATTTTTGACTTCTGATAGTTATTTTGGAATTGCGCTTAATTTGATTCCATTTCTTGGTCTATTTGTTGCTACGCTGTGAAATGGAGAATGTTGGTTGCTTAAAGTTGTCCATTGTTGTTTTGCCGTGTGGATACTCAAATTGTTTTAAAATTTTTCATTGTAGTTTCGCTGTGTGGATACTCAAATTGTTTTCAGAGTTCACTAGAATTTTTGCTGTTCCTTCCCCTCTAATTTAGTTTAACAGGGATCCTCTTTTATATTTGTACCTTTACTTCAGAAATTAACTAGAGTGAGTGTTTATTTTTCAAATTTTAACTACTGATGTTAAGGATGTGCATGTGCTAGAAATACTAGGACAACAAAAACTTTGAGAGGACTAACATTGATAAATAGAGAATCACTAAATTAGAAATTAGTTAGATTTATATATTCTGAAAATAAATTTGAACAAGGAGGTTGTGGGTTTTAGCAAGAAGCTGTGTTTCCCTAAATATTTGCGGATAGAGGCATGGCAAGTATTTGTTAGGATGCACACCTTATTTTCCTCTTCCATTATGTTTTATTGGACAATTTGTGTGTATAAGCATTGAGGAGAAAGTTACTAGATCATACGTAGAACCAGGACATGAGAACTCTGAGTTTTTCTGGTGGAGTGATCTTCTTTTTCCCTTCAATGGGTGTTGGGGGCCTTGGGGGCCTTGGGGGTGGACCTGGTGATTGGTGGGTGGCAATAACATTGCTTTATTCTCTTAACTTGCATTTCTTTTTTACTTTGTGAAGTTGTATATTAAATTTGTTTGCTTATGTTTCTGAAGATAAATGGCTTTCTGATCAATGTTCCAGTTAAGTTCTGCATCAGTTATGTATGATATTTCTTGTAAATTTTTCTTTTTCTTTCCCTATCAAATTTGAAGGTTATGGAGTAAGACAGTTTGTTGAATTCATCTCTTAAGAGTATCTTTAACTTAAAAGGGGTAAAAAGTATTGCATACTTAAAATCATGCTTATCTGTCAAATATATCTTTTATACTTTTGTTTTGTTGTTGGAATACATCATGACTTATGTTTATGTACTTTATCATGTTATTCCATTCATTCGGTATATTCATGGCCAATCTTATTAGATTTTTCATCTTTGGTCATATGAGGTGAAAATCATGTTTGGGCATCATGCCAACTTATGATGAGTCCATCAGTCCATTTCTCTTAATGTTTGGGGCATTGTCTGCATGCATTGCTGATGTATAGGAGCTTCAAGCTCCTGGTTGATATATCTGAACTATAGAAAACCAATTTTTCCCACTGCAGATATTCCTTTTCATGTTCCTAAGCTGAGTTGTAATACTTCATTCTGCAGCACTCTTTCTATTTTTCCAGAATGTTCGTAAATTGATTTGTTCGACAACACCTACTAATGATACATGATACTTCCTTGCCAAGGCAACTCCAGGTTGCAGATTCAGCATTTTAGGATTGTTCAGTCATCAAGTCTATAATGACAAGTGCTCTTCTAGGATTTAACATGATGCTCTATTTGTAATGGATGTATTTGTATGGAAGAGAAATGTTCTTTTGTAGATATGGATATGCTAATATCCTTGCTAGGTGGTCAATTTGGGTGGATGTAACCAAAGCCTAACCCATCTTGGTAAATCCTATCTGCGTCATAATTGCCTTTAATGTGGATGATTTGTGGTTGCTTGATTATTTATGCCATTTGCCTAAACACCCAATTTCCTAGCAACTTGTTAAATGACCCCTGAATGCAATGGAGGGGTGTGACTACCAGGCATGTCAACAATACACGTATTTTGGGTCATATCAACTTCTTACTGGCAGGAATATATTGACTTTTTTACAATCTGAAGTCTATAAAGGATGCTACAAAATTTTCTCGCAGTATGGTCGTGCTATATACATGTTTCACCATAACACCTTTCAATGATCAGGAAATGTGTTTGGAATTTCAGAAAATTGACCTTTCATTTCTTAGTTTCCTGTTGGTCTTATGGAGTGGAAGTGCTAAAAGGTGAAAAACCTAATAGACTTCGGACAAATTTTGTGCTCCAATAAAATTATCTGCTTTTTTCTTAAAATTAAATATAAAATGAAAAAAATATTGTATAGTCTAACAGCATAACATTTTGAGTCTTTGGATACAAGATTTTTTTTTCATTATAATTTTTGTTTTACAATCTAATATAATTTGAAACGTAAATTAAGGTTCTATATAAAATATACTCTTCAAATACACTTTTCTTAGTCCTCATAAGTCATAACTGCTGATTCAACAAAAAGGTGATAATTCAAAGAATTGAAAAAGGGACGGAAAACTTATTAATCGCATCGGCTCGTGTGCAAGTAGGTGGTGACTCAAAAAGGATCTGTCTACTCTACCGACGACAATGTCCGGTAATCCGTCGCTCCTGAAGACACCAGACATGGGAAGCGCCAAGTTTTCAACCGATTTAGTGGTTGATATTTGAGAAATTGGAATTCTACTTTGAAAAAATTGCCCAACAGTATTTCTACCTCTTGTAGTTTCTTTCTGCACGGCGTCGTTCGCAGGCTTTGACTACAGTGACGCACATGGTTTTTTTCAGTCTCCACGTGGGTGGATAAATAGGTGGCAATGGTATAAAAATTGTCAAATTATGTGACATTCTTTGACAAAATTGATATATATGCATATATAATCTATGTTAATAGATTATCAAATCCTTTTTACTAATATTTTTATAATAGTTGGTTTTGATATCTACTATTCCCAAAAAATAATTATGACTAACACTAAGACTTAAACTTGAAAATTGACTTATAATTCACTTAAGAAAATTTAATATTTTGAAATAAAATATCTCCATGTGAATAACATGCCTTAAAATTATTAACAATTTAAATAGTTTAGTAGTAATTTATTTTCATTGAAAGTAAAAGATTTTAAATTCGAATCATATGATATGTAAGTAAAGTAAAATAAAAAATAAAAAATAAAAAATATTTATCTTTTATTACGTAACTAACATAAATATATATATATATATATACTTTAAAATTATACATTAATTTTAAGTTATGCAAAAATTAGTTGGAGAAAGTCATAAGTAAGGTTAATCTTTTCTCCATTTTCCTTGAGCAGAAAACCGTAAGATCTACAACTGGGTAAGATCTACAACTGGGACTATTCCTTTGACTGTTTTTTTTTTTTTTTTTCCGAATTTCTTTGTATGGTTGAATTAATACTGTAAATTAATTGGTTGCTATGTCTTCTTAATTTTTCCTTTTATCTTTCAACATTGTAAGAGAGACAAAATGCGGAACGTATTTTGTGATTTTCTGAAAAATACATAAAATTTCTATGTTTCATAGTCAAAGAATACATGTATATGATCACTAACTTAGTTTAACAACCTGTCAAATAACAGGTATATAGGAAACTTCCTTCAGGAAATTAAAAACCCAAAAAAATAAAAAATAAAAACAAATTTCTGAGGGGGAGGAAAAGAATTCTAGCTAGCTCATAATTAAGATTTGTGCAACAACTATAAGTAGGATTTAGGAGCTAAGTCCAGATCTTGCTAATGGCCAGGACCTTGTTTACTTGGTCCAGAGGCCAATCTAAAACCCAAGCTCCTCATAATCACGGGAGGAATAAGACTGCTCGAGTTATAATCAGCAGAAACCGCAAACATGTCAACAGCAACACCTGCCGGTTGAGCTCCGCCAGCTTCCTCCTCACATCCAGCCATGACACCGGTGGTGGTGCTCATAGATCGAAGAACCCTACCGTCCACCACACTAAACTCCATCGAAACCACCAACATCAAAAAACCAACAAGGACGAAAACACTCCTCATTGGTGGTTCTTGTTAATCTTCGACTTCGTCGAAATCGAGCCTGCAATTAATTCGGGTTTGGTGATTGCTATGAATGGCAATTGGTGTTATGCCCCCTTATATATATACATATACAAAAGGCTTTGCTTGGGCAGGACGACGAAGGGAGGGGGAGTGGGACCTATACAGGATGTCAGGATTATTGGACTCAGCCATGCTTTTCTCTTTTTTAATTTAAAATTATTTTCTTTTCTCCTTTTGAATTTGTTTGTGCTGTTCCAATTTGACTTTGTGCATTACATACTGCATGAAGTCATCATCGGAAGCAAACTGAAGGGAAAAATCAAACCCATAGTCGTTGGAAAAATATATTGTAAAGACTGATTATATGTTTAGATAAAAATTAATTAAAAAAAGAAAATAAAGGGGGAGAAGTGAAGGGAATGAAAAAATTAATATCAATTTTATTTGAATATATAAAAATAAAAAAGAGAAAATAATAATATTTTTATTTAATTAAATAATATAAAATATAAAAAATAAAAT